CAAAAATTGTTATTTCTAATATTTAGAGACGTTTTCGCAATGATGTCGTTTATGACCGTTTGATATAAAAATTCAGTGTTTTGTACTTGTGCAATTAAGCTTCATTGGATTATTTTTCAACCCTCGTAGATCTACGACTTGTCCAGCCCCAAACAATACTAACTTACTTTACGAGAACTAAACAGGTTGGTAGAGCAGTGTTGGCATCAGCGTACGACTCCTTGAGGTCGTAGGTTCGATCACCGGCTTGAACTTTCTATGTGCGCTTATAACATTCGCTTGAACGTTGAAGGAAAACATCGTAAGAAAACGGCTTGCCTTGTCGGTGTCGGTGGCGTGTGTCAGGCACAGGAATCTAATCACCTACTTGCCTATTAGATTGACAAATGATCATGAAACAGATCCAGAAATCTGGAACCCAGATAAAAGGTTGTAGCGCCACTGAGTTATTTTATATGGTTTGTATGTAAAATCAAAGATGCACTACGAACCTTTCGATTGTGTTTGGACAAACGTATCATGACGAATTCTGTATAGTGTCAGCGCGTCTTGGGCTAAAGATTCTGCTGGCCAATCATAATTGAACACAGAATCGTTTCAACTTTTATATTCTCATTTTAATTTTGAAAATATTCATACACGATAAATGAAGTTAGCTTCCGGGACATGTCAATAATTCCTTTCAAATGGTTAAGCAATTGATAAATAATGATAAAAAAAATTTTTTTATAAAAACTAATTTCAGCATACATCTTAGATTATAAGCAATGATTTTGATTTCCAATGTTGTTGCTTACTTTTCCACGTAATTTAGTAACGAGTACAGTTCAATTTTATAAGATAAGCTGTGATATTTTAGGTTAATTTCCGTTGCTCGACACCACGACATGTTCAATATCATAGGTAACTTTTGTCGTAGATAGCTAGTCTAACGTCAAAAGTTATCATGTTAAAATATATACTTGAAATATGATAAACTTATACTTATGTGGAATACGGATGACGCTGCTGCTCCTTCAGCCTCAAGGGAGGATCCTGAACCAGTTTAATCGGCCAGCCCAAAGGTCGACAGTGGCTAAGGTCGACATTTATATATCCTTTAGTCGAAATAACTTTGTTAGCACGTTTCAGGGTTTTCATGGTAGATTGTAGATTTGGCTACATTTCTTGTAACAATGAGAATACGATATATTTGAAAACGTCCAGCATTTGTTTTAAGACCACCTGATCCCTCAATATATAATTTGAAAAATGATGTCTTTAAGTGTAAAATCAATTATACTTTGATTAAAATGTGAAAAAATAAATACGCCGCTTGTACAAAAACACAGTTAAAAGTTGGCGTATTTCGTACTGGCCACTTTAATCACGATGTTCTCCTCTTTGGTAAGGAATTCCAAATTCAAATTTGTACAGCTATTTACTCATGTATTTGTGCTTCGATGACCGTCATTCATTTGTTTTTTTCTTCTGTTTTTTTCCGTTTGCGTCACTCATTTTACAAAATGGAAAACTTAAAGTATCGCATTATTTACGAGTACGAGTTCCGCCGTGGCACTAGTGCTGCGGAAATGACTCGAAGGGTGAATGATGTGTATGGCGGTCCTGTTGCAAAAGAAAACACAGTTTATTTTTGGTTCCAACGTTTTCGTTCTGGAAATTTCGACCTGCAGAACAAGCCCCGTGGACGGCCTGAGACCCAAGTTGATAATGAAGTATTGAAGGCTATTGTGGAAGCGGATCCATCGCAAACCACGTCCGAGTTAGCTGCAGGCTGCGGTGTTAGCGATAAAACTGTTTTAATTCACTTGAAGCAAATTGGGAAGATTAAAAAGCTTGAAAGATGGGTACCTCACGAATTGACTGAAGCAAACCGGCAAACGCGCGTCGACTGCTGCGTTACATTACTGAACCGGCACAATAATGGAGGTATTTTAAACCGAATCATTACCTGTGATGAAAAATGGATTCTTTACGATAATCGGAAGCGCTCAGCGCAATGGTTGGATCCTGGCCAGACAGCCAAATCCTGCCCCAAGCGAAAATTAACCCCAAAAAAGTTACTTGTAAGCGTTTGGTGGACTAGTGCAGTAGGTATTGTTCATTGCAGTTTTCTCAAATCTGGCCAGATTATTACGGCTGATGTCTATTGTCAGCAATTGCAAACCATGATGGAAAAGCTAGCGGCTAAACAACCTAGGCTGGTCAATCGCTCCACGCCACCTAATATTTAAAGAGAAAAGCATAAAGAAGTAGATTTAAAGCCTTTAAGCGCTGTATTTATCAAAACACGTTCATTCAATGTAGGTGCATAAAATCACATACACGTTACAAATAATACTTATTTCGTAAAACTGTATTTTCCTACTATATTAGTTTCCGACAGTTTTCCGGTTCGAAGGACCAATGACCAAGCTTGCCAGCCAGTGGACTGTGCAATGTGTACTTAAATTTATATGTATTAAATGCCAGCAGTATCTGTATAGTATATGTAGTGTATGTATTAGCAAGCTGCACTATATAACTAAATATATGAAAGTGTGATATGTTAGAACCTAAAAACCCTACGGATCCTTAAGCCCAGATGTACTCTAAAACATAAATAGTGAATATATAAGTGAGTACGGGACGTCTGCACCAAGAGATCTAAGGTAACAGACGGCAGGAAGCCCTACGGCAAGGATCAAAGAATCAGGGTAGTGGGATTATCTCAAAGCTATCGGGCAGTCTCACCACGATAATTAAGGGCTTCAAGGAGTCTTCGCCACTTTGAGAGGAAGCGAGATATGAATATGACAGAGCAATATTTAAATTTGTTATGAAGGAATATCTTAAATACATATCGCATCTTCAACTATTAAAGTATAGAATAGCTACGTGAGCCGTATCAGCAGTTGGTCAATGTTCAAATGAAATCTGAACACAGCCTAATGACACATGACATTAAAACTTATCTTCACAATTCATGGGTCATGCGGAAAAATAAATGTCACTACAATTATACTTTTACCCCATTTCATCGTTATTTACTCTATAATTCTGATATGACACTTGTATGTAAAATTATCGTAATTCATGTGCACTTTTTCTTTTTCATGTCTCCTTTTTTTAATATTGTCCGGTACACTGTTTATGTGTGTTAATTGCTTTGTTTTGTTCCATTAGTTTTGTCTAAATAACTCTATGTATTATGTATTTTCAAACTTCTTGCTTACCTTATCTAATTTAAAAAAAAATCTCATAGTGGTTGCCTGGAAGAGATCGCTCGAAAGCGATAACGCGCCAGTCACCGTTACAGTTATTCCTTTCATTTAATTATGTCAATTGTACTATACAACGAAGTGTTCATAGATAAATAAATATATTCGTTATTATACAATAACATCCCTAAAAGCTACAGCTTTCTAGACCTTTAAAATCGGTTAAGTCATGTCTCGGTAATGTTTTGTTCAATTATGCTAAGAAAGTGCAACAATGTAGTTTTCGATTTGTAGTACTTATATGCCTATTGTGCGATACATGTTTATATGTTCTGTTAAAACAAAATCCGTCGGATTGTACTCTTTTAACTCAAGGTTTTTTTTTGTCTCTATCTAACAAACCTTGTTTACGCTGATATAAAGAGAGATAACCTTTGTTTAAAATCATATCATTGGAATAGTTTATTGTTTTATGAATAATGGTTTAGCTGGATATTTCATTTAAGGCTAATTATTTACTATATTATTGTTATTTAGTTTAAGCTTTTATACAACATTTAATTAATTGACATCTTTTCATACTTCTGTTTAGGAAAACATAGTTTTCTACATGAGCACTACATGTGTATGTATACATTTAGGTAGGTAGTTATACTATGTTTTTTGTGAAGTATAAAAAATATGTGAAATATAAAGTTTCAAATCTCTTTTACCTGGTATTAGTGAATCAGGGATAAGAAGAAAACAAAGTCGTTTAAATTATAAATATATTTCACTATCTACAAGTTCAAACGCTGCTTATTCCTCCTGAAATTAAAACAATAAGAAATAACATTAATTTTACTTGTAATTAAGAATAACTAAATTCATTAATAAGCAAAGCCTTGTTCCAACGCTTAAGTAAAAAGTAATTAAATTATTTATAAAGTAATAATATAAAAATTTAATAGCGTGAGGATATCCTTATGATCTAAATGTCATTATTAAGGCGGTAAAACTATCCCCCTTGTCCATAAAATCTAAATCAATTTTATTGCACTATTTTAAGTACATAATTTTTCTTTATGTCCAATTGTGCGATAAAAGACACGAGTGCTTTATGTAAAACAGTACAATTAGTATTACAGTAGTAGTATACAGTAATCTCTCCTACAATGCGTTTTCGTATAACGCGATTTCCGTCGCCAATATAACGCGGTATCTCCCCCCTTAACGCGGAGTTTTCTCATGTTATATCTCTGAAGTGTTCAATTTATTATGATTTGTCAAGTCTATAATTAGTATTGCGTACCTTTGCACCTGTTTCAATTGTATTGTTAATCCGGTTTTACGAGAATACTCCTACAACGCGATTTTCTATAACGCGGTACGGGTATAGGGGGATTACTGTATAATCGTTTTTTTGAAGTTATACTTCTTTAGGCGCGTTATGAAAAATTTATGAGAGTGAAATTTTACAATGCGCGCGCACCGTTACACAAAATTAACAGAATGAAGTTGCCCACGGAAGATGCTACGGCATTGGACATAATTTTAAAACAACAATCGAATAATAATAGAATTTATGTTACACTTAATGTAAGAGAATAATAATAAATATTTATTTATTTAATTTTTCAAATGTAAACTGAACTTTATTGACTATAATGACTCCTTTTCCAGTCTTTGATTATTTAATTGTAATTAATTATTTGCATGCAATCAAAAACTATTTTTAATAATGCCAAAGAAGTATAACTTCTTACGCGCGTATACTTGCTAGGGCTATTAAATAGTGCTAGCATGAATATATGTTGTATGTCATAAATAACTTACAGATTTCCTGCATGGTGTGCTGTTCTTGACGTATTTGAAGAGAGCCTCCGCCATGTTACTGGGCGTGGGAGACGAGCAGTTCTCTAAAGCATTCACAGTACATGAAGTCATGGCTGTAAGTCTGTTACAGAAGGCCTGAAAAAAAAATACAATTACTTTAACTCAATATAAGTTATTTGCAATCAATACGGTACTGAAATATGATATATATACAATCTTATATAATCAATTCTCAAACTTCGCGCAAAATTCTGTCACACACAATGGCGTGAAAATTTGGTTTTGTTAAAGGTAGAATTCATCAATCATATCATCATATTTAATTCCTATATTATTGTATCACTACATCATCACATTAGTAAAATATATTACAAAATAAATAAGAATAAATCAGTGGCGCTATAACATATTTAGGTCTTGGCCTCAGATTTCTGAATCTTTTTCATGATCATTTTCAAATCTAATAGGCAAGTAGGTGACCAGCCTCCAGTGCCTTTCACACGCCGTCGACTTTTTGGGTCTAAGACATGTCGGTTTCCTCACGATATTTTAATTCACCGTTCGAGCAAATGTTAAATGCGCACAGAGAAAGAAAGTCCATTGGTGCATAGCCGGGGATCGAACCTACGACCTCAGGTATGAGAGTCGCACGCTGAAGCCACTAGGCCAACACTGCTAATATATTATATCACTATAAAATGAATATTAATCATAATATTTCATTAAAATAAAAATTAATAGAAAAATATATTTTGACAAGTTTGTCAGAAACTAAAAGTCAAACGAGAGTTATGTAACCTAACATTAGTTAAGTAACATATATATATATATCATAGTAAATTTATTTGAGTCGTACACAAAATGTTAGAAATAATCGCACACTCGAAGCCAAAATGAGCCCTTTAGTTTTTCATACACTCATAAATTGTAATATAACATTATTGTTGCCGATAATGTCCAATAATCGAATACGCTTCTATTGATTTGTCACTTAGCTTTAAGAACCCTTAAATAAGCCAAGTTAGGTTTTTGTTAGCGTCGCAACCCCACTACCCCAAATTTTATGTAAATTATAAGCTCATATTTTAAACGATTAAAACTAGGTGTCACCGAGCTTCAAACAAAGTGTTTCATTTAATATATCGCTTGCCCCGGTTAACAAAGTCGTCAAGCTACTATTACGACTGTTTTAATGTTTTCTCATTTTTACTATAACTGTAATTTTTGTCAGAATTTTTGCAAAACATCTAACTATAAAAAACGTGAGGATGTCTTTATTCTAAGGAAATTATTTTGTGTACTATGTTAGTAATAGTCGTTTACCTAATTTTACCATCCTTGAAATAGAACGCCAACATGTTGCTAGATGTAAAATGACTGCATAGTCATCATTATTATCAACCAATGAATAGTCGTTATTATTAAACACAAATCATTAATATTGGCAAATCAAACAAACCATGTAACGGTTTTTAATTAATTTGACTTTGATGTTACGAAATTGTAATGAAAATGGCAGCTAATACCAGCGCCATTGCTCCGACATATTATTTATGCGGTAATACCGCATAAATAATATGTATATAAGCATTTATAAGTTTATACATACATCGATAGTCATATGTCTGACTTCTTCTTCGGCATCAACATTCTTGCGAAGGTTCTCGACGCAAGTTACGATTTCGTCTTCTTTTTCGTTGAAACAGCCGATACCATCCTCAGCAATGAATACTGAAATATATGTCAATGTTGGTATACAAAAGACACTAGACCCACACTAGGGACAAACTGCAATTGTACACATGTAAACGAAAGAGAGAATTAAAACAGATTTTGATGATAAACTATCCTATTACGTAGTAAAATGAGTATATATGTAACACACAGATATGCCAGCTCAATATTAAAGGTATGCCATTTCATCACATATTTAGCTTAGTACCCAAAGTATTATCTATACTCTTAAGAGTGTAAATGCGGCTAATAAGCATGGAATTGAAAATGAAGTGTGAAGTAGATGCACCAAGGAAATAACAATAACAAAAATAACAATTGCTCGTATTGTGAAGGAAAATATAGTGAAAACTGAACTGATGATTTACTTTTGATTGATTTACTCATAAGTATATGATATATATAGGATGTGAGACATAAAGGCTTCTAGCACCACTAATTGTATGTCACATTGTACGTTGCGGACAACTATCACTGCTGCCGAAAACATAACTTTTCGCTATGTAGCTAAGTAGCTTAATATTGAAAAAAATATCTAAAACATATATTATCTACTTATTTTACAGCTCGGCTATCATTTTTTTATGTAATGGCCGATTATACATACATTATCTTAGTGTTTAGCAGAGTGCTTTAGGATAGTACTGTAGTTGAAACGTGTAAACGTTACTTGCTTTAGTAAGGTTCTACTTGACTTTCAAGTTGAATCAAAATAGAATCGCTTTTTATTTTTGTTTCAAGTGATACCCCTCCCGCGCCCGCGCACCCCCCGAGATCTTCCCTCGTTGTGTGTAAACACGTAATTTAGTAAAATCTTTAGGAGAGTGCACAAGTGCCGTGAAACGCGTGCATGTTTTTTGATTTTTAAAGATGGCTAAATGGTCTGAAGATACAACTATCAAATTTGTGTCTGAATATGTTGTTCACGAATGTTTGTGGAACGTTAAAAACAATTTATACAAAAACAAACAGGCTAGGCATTGGGCATACACTGCCTTAAAAGAAGCTATTTTATTTATTATTTATATTTATTTATTTCGAATAAAATCTCGTCTTCGATTTGTTCCATAACTACAGTTAGTATTTTGCGTAGAATAGAGCGTATTTGCAGACGTCGTTGCGCGTTCATTGTGGCGCTGTAATGATACTCTACTGGAAGAAATGTAAACGTTCACTCGCAACGCACTAAAGCACTAAAGAACTTGCCTTTCAAGTTGTACTAAAATACTCTCCTAAACACTAAGATAATGTAAATCGGCCCTAACAGAAGGTAAACAGGCAAGAGGCTCACTTGATGTTATGTGATACCGCCATGGACACTCACTGCAAAAACGCAAGCGCGCTGCCAGCCTTTTAAGAGTTGGTACGCTCTCTTCTTGAAGGACTTAGGGAGTCGAATTGGTTTGGAAATACTTACTACTACTATCATGTTTGTATATAATTATTAATTTTACTTGACTTCTTTTTCTTGTCTATTTCCTAGTAAATAATTAATAAAATACATTGTATAATATATTTGTTTAACATTGCCTTAGAGATGCTTTAAATAAATATAATGAGTATTTTTGATGACCCTTTTGTAAGATTACTTACAAGCTATTCTCTCTCCGTCATTGTGGCAGATGAAATTCAGGAATCGGTCGGTCGCATTTTTGTCAGAACCAAGATTATTACGAACATCGGCGCTCAAGCATGGGTAGACTCCGTCGAACAAACCAGTAATGCAGGTTTTGAATGCTGGTTTCTTGTCACAGTACCTGGATATTAATAATAACTAATAGAACATGATTAGGGATAAAGTCGCTATATATTCTGACGGAAATTGCGCGGTGTAAATAATTATAAAAATATGTTCGTCGATCACATATGGTATGTTCAGTTTAAGTTTAAAGTAAAAATAACACTATTTATTATCCCTCATGTATAAGAAATACATTCATGCTAATTAATTAAATACTAATTATGCTATACTATGCTGGAGCGAGTGCCTGCGTCTGGCTATACTCTCGGGGCGTAACTCGGACCCTGACTGAGCAAATACAGCCTTGGCTTGTACAAGCACATTTATATAACTAAACAATTTCAATACCAACAAATACGACGACGATGACGATTCGACGGCTCATTGGTCTAGTGGTTAGTACCCTTGACTGCGAATCCATGGGTCCTGGGTTCGATCCCCGGCTGAGACAAACATCGATGTGATGAGCAATTGGTGTTGTGCTTAGGTCTTGGGTGTTTAAATATGTATTTATATGTCTATCTATCTATAATATGTATGTATATCCGTTGCCTAGTACCCATAACACAAGCTTCACCAGCTTAGCATGGGACTAGGTCAATTGGTGTGAATTGTCCAATAAAAAAAAATAAAAAAATAAAAAATGGGAACAAACCTTGTCTTATTGTATAATATAAAAAGAAAAGTTAGGTAAGGTAATTACTTTAGTTGTAATATTTTCGGAAAGATTTTGTTTAATTTAAAAAGTAGCTTACTTCTTGAAGACTTCATCAACAGCTCCGCGGGGTCTGGCTTCTTCGATTTCGCTTTTCACTGTGTCAGGGTCGATCTGAGCCTTGATGCAATCCACAAAAGTGTCAAAAGCAGCCTGTAATACACAAAAAACATTATTATCTGACATATTATTTGTAGAAATTTATCTTATTAAAAAAAGATCTGCCAGCGAACACAAATATTAAAATAAATAAATCAGTGGCGCTATTTAGGTCTGGGCTTTAGAAATCTGTTTCATGATCATTTGTCAATCTAATAGGCAAATAGGTAATCAGAAAATTAAATAAACTAATTGCAATTCTACTAATTATGTCTGCCTGGACTAACCTCAGCCTGAGGAGCTTTGTCTTCTGCGCCATTTCTTACGCAGGTTCTTCTAAATGCAGCCTTAAACCGGTTGCGGTCCTCCTCGTTGAAGGTGTGGCGTCCGAAGACGGCTGAAATGTTAATATCTCTTGTAATAACATTCAATGATCCAACCATCAAAAAGCATACATCGCAAGAATTAATAAATATTAAAAAATATATGTTTAATTCCTGTTGTTAAATTCCTTACTAATTTATTTATATGGTACAAATTTAAAAAAAAACAAAAAATGGGGTTTATTTTTCTATCCTTACGGTATACTACTACACTACTACTTATTAATACAATTAATAAAATGAAATAAATACAAAAGGTCAACTTACCAACAGCCAAACAGGCAACGATGAACAATTTCATAAACATGTTGGGGCAGTCAAATCACAAACACTGAAGCAAATAGCCGAATGACCACACATTTATATTATCCGTTATCATGAAGTCGCTTGAACCCTATTCTTGTAACTCTATAAAATATCACTCGGAAATACAGTTTAATAATTACTTGTTATCACTTCTCGAAAATACTATCTTTTCGAGGTGAGCCTGTCTGATTGTTTTAAGAAATTGACTTATAAGAAATATTAAAAAAAAAAGCTCTTAAGTCTGATTCTAAAAATTTTGAATTCGTTTCATGATCATATTTTTCTTACAGGCAAGTAGGTGATGAGCATTCTGGGTCTGATACACGCCGTCGACGTCTTTTGGTCTACGTGTAAGTGTTAAGGTACATAGAAAGTACATTGTTGCACAGCGGGGTTCGAACCGTCTCAGGGATGAGAGTCGCATAGGCTAGTGCCTAGTGGCAAACACTAGGCAAGCACTCTTGAATGTTATGTACTTATGTAGTGTATTGAAATATTTCAAGACGTCTCCTTAGAAAGAGTAACAATTAAATAATGCAGGATTGTTGTATGGGTAATATTCATTGAATTAAACTGTTTAGTAATTTAATGTGTACTTGCATAAACATTAGTGTACTGGTACAGTCGTATTTGTATTTGTAAAAAATAATTTACTTATTTTGGGTAAACTACAAAAATAAAGTTTAGTTTTATGAATTTATAAAATATTGTAATTTGTAATTTGACCCTATGATGCCAATTCGACCGGTAACAATATAACGGAATATGTGCAAAGATAACGTTATCTACTCGTAAGACGTTTGACCATGACCCCTAAACAACTTGGTTTACGAAGACATGAGTAACTGGGTGTTTACACATTTGTGTTATATTTTTCTTACACGGGTAACACTGAAATAGAAATGAGTTTTCTTCAGAAACTAACGGTTTAAAATGTGAATATAAATTGTCTATGGCAAGGGCCTCTCTAGCTCATTTGTGTATAACTTGCTCACACAGCCAAATTCTTCAAAAAATCACTTAAGTAGTTAAATGTATTGATTTTTTTTTATTGTTTGTTCCGTTTTGTAAATTTTTGAACCTTTTTGTATGTAAATATTATGTATTCCATCTTTGGCTATATTTTTTGTGTAATTGTTTGCTATTATATATCATTTTTGTTAGCTGTAGGATTACGAAACAAATATATATAAAAACACATTATTGTTACTTTAAAATAGTGGCTGAAAATTTGTATGTTATATTCTAAATATCCCATTACTTGTGTTGTTAAGCAGAAACTTTGTAAAATCAAAGGAGTTAAAAAAATTGATAATAAATACTAAAATATAACAGAACACTGTTAAATCATTCTTTATTTAAAACGTCCAATAATATTAATATAGTAAAGATGCTAATTGTCACGATAACATTATGTAAGATCAATTTGAATACAACTGTTTTTTGATTGGTTGTACATAAGTAACTTTAATGTAAGAAACGATCCTTCAGAAGTATTATCTGCATTTAGCTAAAATGTCTACACACTACTACTATATCGTGTTATTAATAAAGATGTTTACTTAATCTACGTTATAGAAAAATCGGTTCTTACAGTTACAAATATAAGCATTTACTCTACGCCATATTCACAGTACAAAAATCCTTAGCCAACCTTTAAAAGGCCATGAAAAGTGTGACTACTGAACAGGTCACACTCCAGATATCATTTATCGCCGGGTTTCCATTAAATATTTATATTTTGTCGTGTTCGATGCTTGAATTTTATACAAATATTAATTTATAGTATCTCTGCGTCTCGATGTGAACTAAAACACTATATAAAATAATATTTAAGTTATACAAGGTGTTAGGTAAAATAAATTTGTGTCTAGGACAAGAAACACGTTATAAAATCTAAATAAAACTACTACACTTGTCATACAAGGGATTTTATAATAAATCACAGCTAATCACTTATTTCTAAGCTGAAATAATACGCAGGAAAATGTAACCTCTGTGAGGTAACAATTGTAAATGAATATTAGGAAAGAATTATATACATATTAAAGAAACAAGTCCTCGCCCTAAATCACACGATTGTTTATTTGCTGGTTCGTAGCAGGCGTATCGATCAGCTACGAAATCTCGTAGCATTTTGTCGAAAGTATGCTACGGTAAAGTATACTTTTCCCATTATTATGTCCTATTATGTAATTTTTTTTCTTCAAAGACAATAAAAAACGTTGGTATTGTAAAGACATCAGCAATTATTTCCTATTAACGTGGTAGCCTTCCTTTGCTTTCTTACAGAAAGGCATACAAAATCTCATCATAGACAACTTTTTCAATATGGCGCCGTCGTTTTATGGTCAAAATTTAAAAGAATTAAGCTATTAAATAACGAATTTTAAAGTATTTTTGAACAACGTTTATATTTTGTTATCTAAAGTATTTAATTTATTACATTTTGCTTGTTTTCTCCCTACCATTACATGTTTGCTAGAATGTTTAGGTCATAGTGTGATGTGTCATTATCAGTATAGGTTATCGAAAATCCTAAAACAATCACTAGCTATGATAATGCAAAGATAAACTCTGATCTCCATTTAGCAACAACTTTTTCTTGTTACATCGTTAGATAGACAATATAACATATTTAAAAATACTATTTTAATACAAGTGCCTCTAACAAAAATTAAACACTTACTGAAAAGAAAAATAACCAAAAAGATAGCTTTCAATTTGAATATGCAGTTTGGTTACAGTAAATTAAACAGTCTTATTGTAAAATTTAAACAATTAAACGATGCATGAGAAAGGTAATTTATTATATAACCTGCATTATTTCGAATAAAAATGCAACATATAGATAGAGTGGTCTATGATCGCCCTAGAACCAGTGGCATTTTGACCGACTCATATTTAAAAAATGCGAAATCTATAAAGTATAGTTCGTAGTACTTTATTTGTAATGTTTAATTTCAATAGTGCTTACGTTAAAGATTTACGTAAACATTGCCTGACAAGAAATGGGAACTTTCAACGTTTTAAAATCAAATATATATATATATAAAGTTGAATCGCAAAATATGTTGCTATGCGCAAATCTCAAAAACAGCTGGACCGATTCGAGTATTTTTTTTTTAAATTTATTGGGAGAAAAATTGGGAAAAAAATAAAAATTTCGTTTAATTTAGAAGTTAGATTTTAGCATATAGCATAGCAAAATATTCGATATGGTATGTAGCTACTAAATAGGTAGGCTAAGTAAAAATCATATTAAGGCGAAACAACATCGCGGGGTCAATAGTTTAAAATAATTTCGTCAAATTTTAAAAATGTTTATGTTTACGAAAATGTCCAATTCTGTAAGTCCGGTTACTTTCCAAGATTTGTATTTACGTAAAACTGAGCTGATAAGAACTGGGCACTTCCCAGGCGAGTTGTTTGTCAGTTTTACAATATCTATATACTCTTTCGGCATAATTATAATACGTGGACTAAAGATTCCGTAACCATAGAAACAGGCACTTAAGTTCACGTATTATAATCCTGTACAACTATAACATTATTAAATCGTGGCTTTTTCTAATATTTACCTAAACATCAGGTTAAAATCGCGCGCATTTTTCATTGCTTAGAAATATTTACAATACTTTTTTGTTCGATTTGTTTAATAGGGGAATATTTTCTGTGAATCGCTTTTATATAGCGAAAAACAAATTATAATAGATACTATATTTTATAAAGATGTATAAAAGAAACTAAAATTACGTATTAAAGAAAATATTAAACGCATAGCCTCACCTCGTACTCGTACTTTATTATATAATTCTTGTTCGTATTTATATAATTTCCTTTATTTTAAGAATTTATTTTTATTTGTTACCTCTCCGACGTAAATATGGACCTCAAAGTTTGTAGATATATTGCATTTCTTTTAATTTGAGGGCGTAAGGGTTTGTAGAAAGAACATTAATTGTACAAATAAAAACCGGTCATTTCAAGTTCTGAACTTACGTGCGTTAATCCAAATAGGTTCAAGGCGAAGGCTGAATACAACTGCAGTATATAGATAAATTAACTATTTGAACTGTGTAGTTGTACTATGTGATAAATTAATATTTATCTAATTAATCATAACAGTACAACCTCGACGATTAAAATGATTTCATTGGGACTCTCTAAACGCACCTGAAAAACGTTTCAGAACTGATGTAATAAGGTAAGGATTAATAGAAAGGCAATTTATTATCAATCACATCTTACTTGATGAAAGTATGAGTAATATCTATAAACGGATTTGTTAGAGTAAAAAATGTTGGTAGAATTTTCACCTATATTTTGACAGTGAGTACGTTATTGCATTGTAATATTTGCTAGAATTTAAGTGTCGTGGCTTGATTGCAGAATCGACTATTTAATATAATTATCATTTATTGGAGAATTATAGAACTGTACAATGGAATAATCAATTTAATTTTCGGGCTACGACAACGACGATGAATTTACATAAACAAATTTAATAATTAGTAAAATAAGAAGTTTTATGACGCTAAGATCAAATGGTATTATCCTACTCCTATTTCATAGAAGCTTATTGTTAGGCTTGATAACTGAAATTTTACAAGCTATTTATTCCATAGGTACTTATTTACAAAGAAATAATTAATAAATAAAACATTATAGTTATAAGGACATACGATATTTTTTCGTGTGGCATTTAATTTACATATATATTTTAATATCTCAAACTTACTTTAAGACATTAATCATCTCCATTGAATCACAAACACAAAGCTCTGTTCCTTTTTACAGAGATGACGTTTGACAAATGACATTGATGCCCATTTGTTTCAATGACATGGCATATTGTCAAAAAACGTTAGACAGAGATGACAGTTGACACGTGTCATTTATCGCCATTTGGTTAAGAAAAACTAATAAGAATCGTATGAAAACCACTGTCCACGAAAATTTTGACAGATAAGACGATTAGAAATTAATCTGAATTTCTTACAAATCTATTGACAATCGACTCACATTCAGTATTCTGGAAATTATATTAACAATTTTCTATTGAATCTTTAGCAATGATTCTATTTATAAGAAGTTTTTGCAATACAAACATCGATATTTACATTGCTCAAAATTGTTGTAGAGCTTTCTGCTTATTAATGAGTGCGTTTAATAATTTAATACGCGCCTTTATCGCTTTATACCGTTGATACTCTTCCTCTTTTCCCTTCTTGTCATCTCTTTGCACTTTCCTGCTGTTCTGCACCTCGAAGTTAAACTCATATTCTTTTATTGTTCGACGTAGGACCTGAAAATTTGTATGCATAAATTTGACGTATAATCATCATATTATGTTTAGCAGGCTAATGTTTAACACAATAAACTTTCACTGTTTTCAGAGCACGCAAAGGAAGCCCAAAGAAATGTTTTTTGTTAATGCTTTGCTCTTAAAGGTATGCTGTATTAGAGCCTTTATAGAATCCTCGGTAAAAGGACTATCCAAATAGTTTTTACCAGTAACCAGCCGATTCTATTAGTGAGTTCAATCAAACAAATCAGTTAAAAACTTACGCATTTCTGCATTTTAGCTTCACTTAAAGCTCGCGCCAGGTCTTCTAGTCCGAGGAAATGAAGTCCCTCATTGGAGGGAGTCTCCTCACTTGTGGCTGATTTCGCTGAAGAGGTGGAGGAAGGCATCTCCTCCATAATGTCTCGACTGGGGGGTGACTGAAGGGGAGTTTCAGTCGTTTCCTATAATTTCAATACATGTATTTATAAAAGATCATCCATGGTAGGTAGACCAAACACAATTATGGCTTTAAAACCAAATAAAGTAAATCATGACAAATAAAGTAAAATCATGACAAACGAAGTAAAATCATGAAAAATAAAAACATTGATATAGCATATAATATATTAATATTAAAAAACCGGTTGTCTCTTCCCATTTTGCACGCCTGGGTGTGTTTTTTTAATATTGTGATAATTTATATATCCTATGATAGTCAAAATTATATATATAAAAACTATATAATATATTTATATTTTTCTATACCTAGTATTTATACAAAAATTTAGCATCATTTTTTAAATCATTACAAATATACAAAAAAATTTAGTCTTTATATTATTAGTGTATCATATACCTGTGAAGAATCAGATCGTTTCTCCTGAGAATCACTGGAACTGTCAACACTCGTGAACAGCATCGTTTCATGTTCGTGAATTGTCGCTAATTCACCATTTGTTCCCATCTGAAAGTATGTAACAGTTTTATAAGTGTATGGCAATTAAAATCCTATTATAATTATCATTAATTGAATAAATCATTGCTCTTAAGCCTGTCTGGACCATATAACTCTATAAGCATAGCGGTAAGACTATGTATTTGCGTGTTGTTCCCACGAGAACGAACGTGCGTTCTCCTATTTCACCATGCCTCCTGCTGATACAGGACAAGTCTTTGTTTTTAATTTATTTTATTATTATTTATTACTTAAGATGTCATGTGGAACAACGTTGTGTAAAACAAAAAACTTGGCGATTAAAAAGAGTGGCGGAGAGTTTATTGCCAGCTTCTTCTGCTCTACGCCCTCGATTTGAGAACTGGCAGTAAATGTAAAATTAGACGCATTTATATATATTTCTTTTTTGACGTTCATAAGTGTACAATGTACATTGTGTTACCTATATGAATACATGATTTTTTACTTTTGACTTTTATGGCTGGTCTCGATGACCTTGTTTATTTAAATTGCGTACCAGCAATCAAGTGTTAAATAACTAAAATAGCCTACTTACATTATCAGATCTAGATTGCAAGTTTCGTTTGACAGCTCTGTATCGCTCATATAAATGTCTGGCGGCTCCGCGTTCCGCAGTGTTCGCTGCCGGCCTGCCTCTAGCCGCCTCTAGACGTAATAAGGCTCTTTGAACACACGCCTTTTCCGCTGCAAGCTGGGCTGACGTCCAAGACGACTCGGGTATGGCTGCTCTACCCGCTGCTTGGCGACAACCGTCGATCCACTGGAATTGATCAAAATAAAAAAAAATAATCAGTGGCGCTACATCCTCTTTAGGTCTTGGCCTCAAATTTCTGAATCTGTTTCATGTTCATTTTTAAATCTAATAGGCAAATAAGTGATCAGCCTCCAGTGCCTGTCACACGCCGTCGACTTTTTGGGTCTAAGACATGTCGGTTTCCTCACGATGTTTTCCTTCACCGTTCGAGCAAATGTTAAATGCGCACGTAGAAAGATAGTCCATTAGTGCACAGCCGCACGTGCGTAGCGTGAGAGTCGCACGCTGAAGCCACTAGGCCAACAATGCTCTAAGTGTTAAATCATTCCCACATAAAGAAAAGTAGATATATAGATAGATAGATGCACCGCTATGATTCAAAAAAATTTAAACTAAATATACATATAATAAATAGGTCTACTGTCTCATAAATAAATAACTAATATATACCACAGTAATGTAGATGGTCCGAAATAATTTCACCGCAAAGTTGGCGTCTTGCCATCATTTGAGATCAAGTTGAAATTATTATGTACGTACATGCATTGTGCAAGAAACATCTTGACCTATCCTTCATTTATTTATAGTTAAAATATTACAAAATAACGCAATAATATAGCAATCATAACTGTTTTAAATTTATCTTTCACTCTCTTTGTTATGTCTATGTTAAATAAATGTTTAAAAAAATTACATCTGAATTTGTTGCGGAAATCGCGTTCTATATGTGCCAAGGTGACTTTAGTGAAAGGCAATAAGATGCGAGTTGGCATAAGTTAGATAAATTAACCTTCAAACAAAACATTGTTGTGCCAAAACGTGAATTTAATGTTAAACTGAATTACGGTTGAATATACGTATAAGCTTTCCTATATGATTAAATATACGACAAACAAGAAAACAAACTAAGAGTATGTCAGAATAGATTCGAAAGGAGAGTTCAAGGTCTGAAATTGAAAGATATAGTAGAACTGGAAGAAATAAAGGACATGACAAAGTTTATAAATGCTGTAACTTCTAGTAGAAGATTAAAATGAAAATGGACAGGAGGAATTATGAGAGAAGATAAAGATAACTGGACGAAGAAAGTGATGGAATGGCTTCCGTGCCTTGACTAAAGAAAACGAGGAAGACAAATAAAAAGATGGGAAGATGATGTGCGAAGAGTAGCTGGCCCTATGTGGCTACGTAAAGCTAGAAACAGAGAAAAGTGGAAGCCCTTAGAGGAGGCCTATGTCCAAGGACAAGCTGTATAACAGAAATCAACCGGCTAGACGATTAATTATTAGTATTTATTTTTTATTTTCATTGTAATTTTTTGTTGTATTTCACATTTTTATGTACTAGTATAAGTAATTACAGCAATAAAGGCTTTTATTATTCTTATTATATAACAATATTTAAAACAAACATAAATTCTTTATTTCCTTGTATTATTTGTTTGTTCTTGGTATGGTGGGTTATGACCAGCTACGCCTCAGAAGAGAGCTTGCTTTGTCTGTACTTATTTAGGATACTCACGGGTCGGGTTCATGATCTGGATATAATGGAGATACTGGGTCTACGGGTACCTCGCAAGAACCTGAGGCGGTTTCAACTTTTGGATGTACCGCGCGCACATTACAACTTGGTTAGCGAAGCGCCACTCAAGTGAGCAATACATATATAGACCTATTTGTTTGTACACTGGCTGAGTTCACAAGAGTGCTACATTAATAGTTATAAGATCTCTATTTATATAATGTTTTTTAATTGTAAGAGTATTAGTGTTGGTATTATGGCGTAGTTCTATTGCATTAGTAGTTGCTGTTAAGATAGAATAAATATGTGGATAAAAATTAGTTTTACAAAAAATATTATTTCTACGTACAGCCTGAGTTTAGATTATATTGTTCCCTTCCATTTTTATAATACGTTGGAATAGAATTACGGTTTATAATTATTATTATTGTAAGATTGTAAAGAAAAGTCTACGAATCGTAGAAATTACGGCTGGCAATAAAAAAAGGCAATGCATTTTTATAGTTGTTCGGAAAGCGTATTTATTTTTTTAATTATAACACTGTAGTTATAAATAATATATATTGATATTTTAGTATTTATGCAGGGATATTATTCATATAAATAAATTTTTCATAATAAAATAATTCATAATATATAATGGAAATGATTTAGATAAGGTCCCCAAACACCATCCTAACAATTTTCCCCTTACGCAATTGACGGAATAATTTGAATTTATAATATTACAAAATACTAATTATTGTTCAAATAAGTTACGATATATCTCAGTTAAAGAATATTTTCGCGTATTTTAATTTTTGAGGTCACCCAAAGTAATAAAACATTAATATAAAAAGAGAAACGCAACCTCTTCGCCTCTTGGCCTCAGAATTCTGTTGGTACCTATTTCGTGATCTTTTTTGTTCTAGAAGCCTAAGTGCGTGATAAATGCGCATATATAATGAAAAGTCAATTGCCGGGGATCGAACCTACGACCTCTCAATAAAATAAATTGCTTTAACAAAACTTACCTCTTCAATGTCCCTAACAATATCCCCCATTGGCTTATCACTTCTTAGCGCTGCATCCAGCTTCTCATCTCTTTCCTTTTGCAATTTAGCTGCTTGAACTTTCAGCGCGTACTCAACGGGGTCCGATTTGATGCAGCGCTTTTCTGCTTGCATGCGTCGAAGCGTCTCCAGCATACGATTGTATTGAACATCGGTCATTCGTTCGCCGGGAGATATTGCACGTCCATTTTGTGCTTCGAAGTCGTTTTCGTATTTGAAAATTGTCTTTTTTAGAACGGCGATCTAGAAAAATCGTTTTACAAATTTATAATTATAACGTAAGCATTTTCGTGTTGGATCTTACATATAGTTACGTTGAAGCCAGAATAGCTTTACCTAATTGACCAGTAAAAACTACAACAGCTGTGTGAATTCAGGTGTTCATTTTCTGTATATATTAGTAAGTTTTATATGTACAATACTGGAATATCATCAAGATATAAAATCTAATCTAACATAGTGTTATTAAACACAAACACAAACTCAAAATAACTTTATTCATATAGGTAAACAAGTACACTTATGAACGTCAACAGAAAATATGTTAAATTGATTCTAAATTTATATTTACAACCAGGTCACAAGTCAAGGGCTGGCAAGAAGCTCTCCGCCACTCTTTTAAATCGCTAAGTTTTGAGTCATACAAATTGTTTGAACTGGATCAAATCTACTTATTATTTTATTACATATAGTAGCTTTCCGGAGCTAAAGATTTCACTTATTAACAAAATTATATTATTACCCTGTAAATATTCGTCCAACAAAGATTTATGCAGGCATTTATCATAGCCTACCGGCACTCTCACATTAACTATAATTTTTCCATACTGAAAATGGTATATATAATTAAAAGCACAATACCTTCTTGTTAATCTTCTCAAGCCGTCTGTCAGGGCTGGCTTGCGTGCGACGAGGTGGGACACTCCGTTCGTCACGTCTACTAAACCCAGGTTCCTCACAATAGTAAGTCTGCGTTTGGGATGCCGGTAGGATTTCTTCATACACTTTAATGAGGTTATAATATATTAAATGAGGTGACTATTTATTAAAATTATTTTGAGTCAGACTAAGTTTCAATAACGGAAACAAAATCTAGCAAAGCTTTCATTTGGGCTTTGCTACTTAACTATAGTTACCGTTCAATCAATCAAAATACGTTTATTCAATTTAGATGCGTCTTAGGGCATGCTTATGAATTTCAAAAACGTTTACCAAATTCGCAAAAGAGCAAGACTACACCATCCGTTCGCAAAACTACCAGGAGGCCTTGTTCTGAGAAGAACGGGCAAGAAACTCAGCAAGTTTTACCCTTCCTCTACATATTATAATCCTCTATATATTTAATAATTGTAATTATTCAAAGAAAAAGGTCGTAAACCACAACGTCATTAAGGTTACATAAGTAAAAAAATGTTCTGTTCTGTGATTTACCACATTCACCATTATACACATATTCACAACACGTTAGGACTTGGAATATGTCCAATTCGAGTACATACATTCTGGCTTCTGTTGGACAACGTATTCGAAATGGGGGGGTGTTCCGCTGCGAGTGTCGTCTGGGTGATCATTTTCCTTGGGCTGTCGCGGGAGACGGGGCGCGCGCCGTCGTTTGCCGAACTGTGGTCTTCGTGCGCGAGACAGCCTTTCTGCACGGCGTTCGGACTGGAAGTGAACGAAGATACTTAAGAAAGCTAATTTATTTTGTTTCTATACATAACTTTGGGATCCTTGTCTGTTTACTAAGAGATCGTTTCCTTTCAGTTTCTTAAATGTTATTTTATAAGAGGCAAGTATATAAGTTGATTTTAAACACAATAAAATCTACCTATGATTATCAGCAAACCCAACATTGCAGCGGAAAGTAAAGTAGATCTTTATAAAAAATTTAGTTCTATTAAAACAACAGTACTCGAAGATACTTTGAGATACACTAAATAAGTTTATGTTTTGCGGTTATTTGCAATAAGCCCTAAGGTAATGAGCGAATTTGTTTTGTGATGTTGTCATGTGGAGTGGATTCCCATTGGAAGCATCTACTCATCTTCTGCCAGTCTTCTAGCTCTAGAATATGGTGACGTTTTAGTCGTCTCACATACTGTTCTACAGTGAGTTGGCGAGCCAGTTCGTTCAAAAATAGAAATAGAAAAAAAATATGTTTATTATGGAATATAAGATACAGGTATTACCACGTTATTAAATTTGTATCGGTAGACATCCCTACTCATCGGCAAAGAAGACAGAGGGTGTAGGCCGACAGAAAATCCGGCGTAAAAAGCTCTGTTAAAATATCAAATCATCATACAAAATTACTATGGCAAACATAGATAGAAAAAACCAGAAAGGAGGGAGATACGGTCCGCTCTTTATTTGTATTAAATTACAAAACTGAACGGAAACCTCGCAGTCCAGTTTCCGGAAGCAGCACTTGTTCACAGGCATAACGTGTGAGCCAACCATCGTTTTACTCAACCATATTTGAGGGAATTATAAACCTTTACTAAATTTTAATATTACCTTTCATAAAAAACATAATGAGTATCTTAATCTAAATAGAATTAAGCGCTGACAGACATTATACTATACCTCGAGTCGATTGTAATCATGTAGTGGTGGCGGCGGCGGCGGAGGTGGGAGCCGCTCTTCGCTGTGTGGTCTTCTTTCCTTGCGCTCGTGAGCACATCCAGAGTCCCGGCGCTCGCGTCGCTTGCGGGCCTCTCTTTCACACTCGGGGGCAGCCATATCCTCCCTCTCTCTCCCCTCGTGATCCTGTTCACTGCACTGCGCACGCCACCCGTTTGATATTACAATGCGACGGTCGCTCGAACGATCGGATGCTTGGCCGAAACCCTACATATGTGGATGCTGGTGTTAGTGATTCGTGACAAGCTTGACATAGTATGCTTTATGTAATGAGATGTTCTGTGGCATGATCGTTAGGTGTATAGCAATGTCGTAGTACATAAACGTGTATTCAGTTGTCTGGCCTAAAGCGCGTTCTAAGTGTACTAAGCTAACCTTTACATCGCGATTTTTTATTGGTTAATGGAAAATTACTCTATCAAAAATAAATCCAATAACCTGCTTTAGCAAAGCGAATATAAAGCTTAAACGTAAATGTTGATCAAAGATGTCGTGTAAAAACTACTAATACAAAAAATACCCCGGCCTATTTAGTACCTGAATTTCCAAAAGTACCATCTTGCTAAGTCTACCCTTGAAACTAAATCCCCAATTTCCAAAAGTAACCGGCCGAAAGGTGTTCTGAAAAATGATACCCAAAACTAATGTATATTGTATGACGTGTATCGGCACTGTTTGAAGCCAATTGAGATAACCAAGTTCTCATGCGTTTTAATACTTACAATGCAGTATCTAGCAGCGCCTACTATGGAGTTGAGAATTCTGGAAATGTTGTCCCGGTTTCGACTTGCCACGACTCTTGAGCCCGGACGCGGGCCAGCCGTATGATCCACAACCAATCACTAAACAACCGGCCTATTATTTATCCTTTAATGTAAAACAAAATGAAAGAAACAAAACGAAACGGCAGCCCGGAATCGAACGCCGTTTTGACGGGTATACTATTTACTAATACAGACTATACTGTCAAACACAACAGTCTATTTGATAATTTCACAACTCTGCCTCGTCATATCTCGGTCCCGACACATACTGGTACGACTCTTGCAGTCGATAAGGTGCGCACGGTCTCAACAATCTACGGCTGCTTCAAGAAGTGCGTTGAGACGAGCCTGTAATTTAGCATTGATAGATCAGGAGGGTTGTGAAGAGCCTTCTAGCTCCTAATGCCTCAAGAATATCGCTTTGGACATTCTTGATGTACGGTTTTGGCTTCTAGTATAAGCTTTTCAATTCTCATCTATCGTGGTAGACATCGTTGTACTGTTTTCACTTATGGAATCTGAAACAACATAATACTTGTATAGTCTGTGGTTGAATGGAATGTTTTGAATTCGATATGTATGTTGACAAAACAATTGCTTTATATAAACGTCGCAAAATGTAAATGTGTGGTTGCGACATAATAGCGTAGAAGATAATTAAAAAAAAACAAAACTATAATATAGAAAATATATAAAGTAATTAAAAAAAACGTAAATTAAGTTCAAGCTTAGATACAATTATTTTAAAGAATATATACTTTAATAATCTGTAGAAATCAACGACAGTTTTTAAGACAATTAATAAAAATCACGGGGGCAATAGACATCCATAGAATGTCTGACAGAAATAATTGTCAACATTGTACGTTGACAATTCTCTCAGAATTCTACATATAAATGATGCAATAGTATGGTTAAGTCAGAATTCATTCCATTTTTAAGAACATCTCCAATTTCTTTTGATGCACGTCGGACTACAAAAATAAAGAAATTCTATGGGATTTATGTGGCCGATACATAATTATTGGTATTGTGTCCGGTCTTTTGACAATAGTTCTACTGGCACATGAAAACATAAAAATCATATATTTCCTTTGCTTAAATTATTAACTTTATAAAAACATGTTCGTACTATTTTAAATGATTTTAATATTCCACAACTTTTTTTAAAGTAGATAAAGTCTATTGAAAACAAGATGAAAATAGTCATACAAAGAAAAACACTTAACGGAAATGCATAATAAAATACAAATATTAATAATTAAATAAGTCTAAATATGATGAAATTATTTTTGAAGGCACAAATTATTATTATTTTGATGATAATTTTATCAAGATGTCTACTTCTTCAAAGCCATACTAATAATAACATCTATATTGCGCAAATATTGACGAATCTAATAATAATATGTTATGTAAACAGGGTGAAGATGCATTTGACCCGATTTCCCTGAGTTCGCTGATCGCTGTGGGCGTGTCTTTAGCGGAAAATCTCATGCCGAAGAAAACTCTAATATAAATAAATCTAATATATCTTCAACGATACAAATAACTTAAAGTGCAATACACAAATATAGTTTTTTTACGGAATATATTGCTTAAGTATAGGTAATAAACGATTTTCAGTAAATTAGCGACACGAATTTTATACACATTATTTTTATTACCTCATTACTTTGAATTGCCTTTTGTTGTGTGTGCCTTATGCAACACCTATACACACAACTAAGTATTTTTATTTTAGTTATTATTTTTTAAGGTTAGTTATTTTTTTTTCAATGTATATTATTTTAGTTTATATGATATTCAGTGTATTTATATTATATTGTTATTAAAAAACTAAGTATTACATGTAAATGAATTGAAAAACTTCACAATTTGTTCATTCGACACCCTTGAAATTAGGCGGAAAAAGATCAAAGACTACAGAGAAGGACGGAAAACGTCCTTGAGATGAAAAAGCGAGACTACTATATATACTTATAACACGAAATTAAATAACGACTTACCGGTTAAAACAGTTGTTTTAAAAGAAAATTTTAAAAGAAAACAAGGAAATGTAACGCTATGGCGTCGCAGAGAAAATGGCGGCGGAAAATGACTGCTCTCTAGCGCCAAACGAGAAACACTGAAATGTTGGGCGGGCTGCGTCGTTGTTCTAGTGTCGTACTGATAGAGGGAAATATCGATGAAAATGCATTCTTGAAGGTCACTGCATGTTGTATTGTGATGTTTTAACTCGTTCTGCAACGCGTACTTTGTTTATGAAGTAACGCGATATAGGGGATAGATATTTATAAATGTAATATTTTTAGATATTTACAAATTTAATATTTGGAATATGGTTTTCGATATAAGCATATTCTGTAACAGTTCTGCAGTAAAACATTTAAAATATACAATTAATAACATAGAGTCTGGCTAATAAAAGAAGATAACAAAAAAGCGCGGCAAATTCAAAAAAAATTAGTAAGGTATCCCTAAAAGTTTGATATATTTTGTGGATTAAACTTGCTTGATTTGTTGTTATTATTTACATTGATAGTAACTGTATTTCTATGAAATTAAATACTATACGTATTGAGTCTTTTACTATTGATACTTAAAATGACAAGCATTGCATGGAAAACTAAAACTATATTTATTATAAAACACAACTTTATTCGGAATAATTAAATCCTACGACATTTCGTCGCTGTATTTCGATACTTATTCGTTGAGCGAGGAAAGTGCCATCACGATGTTTATCATCATGGTAGCAAATGTTAATTATGCTCATGGAAAAATCTATTACAGCTAGAGTTTAAACACACGATCTCAGGATTGACTGGTCAGTCACCGGTAGTATCTACCAGGCGCCAACTTAAATTATGCATAGGCGCTAGTGCACTTGAACCCCACGGCCCCAGAGTCTACTCCAAAACAAAACCCAAAACAACAAAATTCAAATTGGAAGAAAGACTCTTATATTTAAAGTTTCGAATACAGTTTTTGGTAGATGGACTGTGATGCAGTCATAACGCCAGCGAAAATAAACTTCTTTAAACCTAGATAGGTATTTCATGCTATTTGTTTTACTATAAAAGAGTAGAACTTATAATTTCAGCTTTTTAAATAGTTAATTTTTTTTTTTAAGTTTATGTCCAAATTTTTAACATCTTTTAAAAACATCGACTACCTATGAACAACACTAAATTCGTAAACAATAGAAGTACACGCCTTGAAGCCGGCCGGCGCAGCTAAGAGCTGAATTTTTAAGCTTTTCCTGACCTTACGTTTTTTAATTACCTACACAAGCGTATTGCGTCGGAGATTTTCACTTAGAAAAGCGAACACATTTGCGCCACATAATTCACCAGGCGCATTTCAGCGCTGAGTCATTCCAAGACACTTAATAAACGGTGAATGAATATTTTCTACGGTGCAAGAATTATTTACTGTTAATTTTTACTATGTTTTTTGTTCTACTATTTTTATTATTACATTATTTTTCTTTTTTGCGTCTGAGGCGCAAACTAACTGTTGTGGTCTCTGGCAGAATGACGGTGTGGAACACGTCTGCACCACAGCATAATACTGAGCCAGGGCCAGTTACAACCACAACACACACACACACACATTACACACTTAAAATTACACTTGAAGTGTATAATGTTCCTTTTTTTCGTTCCTCAATTTTTATGTATTTTTTATTATTATTATTTTGTGTGTTTTGTTAATAAATCTTACGTCTATGTCTATTTCGGTTAGCGTAAAAAGATTCCCAAATCTTTGTATAACGAAAGAGTGACATTCATTACAGTAAAAAAAGTTGTTCCCTAAAAAGTTTATTTTTATTAATGTCCATTATTTATGTTTATCTAAAATAAGACAAACAAACACAGGAAACAAAGATAATTATCGTGTCTTATTTCCTGTTATTATGTAACGATTATTATATAAGAGGCTATTGTTCTAATGTCTCGCAATACAAGTGTCTGGGGAATGAAAATAATAGATATTCTATAATATTGACGGCATTGATAAGCCGTGAACAGCCTTGAACTTGTCAAAGAATGTTATGTCTGTTATTTTCAAACGATAGCATTTTATTAGAGTTGTTTTTTTTTAAATTATTCCAAAATAGAAGTTATTTAAATATATTATATTGACATACTCGTGAACGGGTGCTACTTGTGGTGACTGGTCGTACTTGAATTCGTGTATGCGGTGATATTAGTTGTTTAGAGTAAGTGCGTGCTCCTATTTCATCATGCCTCCTGCTGATAGAGGACAAATCTTTGCTTTTAATTTATTTTATTATTATTTATTGCTAAGGATGTCATGTGGGACATGGTGTAATGGTTGCAACTTGCAGCTCCTCACAAACTACGCCCTTGATTTGAGAACTGGCAGTAAATGTAAAATTAGAATCATTTAATGTATATTTCTTTTTTGACGTTCATAAGTGTACAGTATGTTACCGACATGAATAAATGATTTTTGATTTTTGACGTTCGACTTTTGATACAATTTTTAGCCTGACCGCCTCCATTGTTAATTTTCTCATACGATATTGTAGTGTGCATAATAATAGTTTTAAAAATAACTATGCCTGATGAAGCTGGTTGAAACAATTGGTTTGTTAATTACCCTACGTTTACATATAAGAATAATGATGGGATGTAGAATTCGTGTATAGGTTCCATTAAATATAAATATATTTGGCGCCGTATATTTTGTTATTTCTATTGAAATTGTTGCGGAAATCTCAAATTCTCGAGAAAATACATTGTTAAGATGTACTTTTACTCAAATATAGTCTATAATATTGTGTTTACTATCTTTGAAAAAAAAATTGTACAGTAAAACAGATTGATTAATATAAATCCAATTTTTATTATTACGTAAATAATGTATTTTTGATTGTTATGTATAGGTTTTATAAATATAATTAGGTACACATATATTTATTTTTATATATTTAGATTTAACCTTAATCTGTATAATGAGTAATGTTATCACAAGAAAGACAATTAAAAAAATACAAATTTGTAACCAAAACAGGAATAATACATACTATCAAAATAATATTTCGCTATATTTTTTAGCCACGTTATATCAATATTCATATATATATCATTACTATCACCTGATGAACGTCCGCACAGCACGACGGCTCAAATAGATTGTCCATCAGCCAATAGCACGCCTTTTATTTTACGTTCTGCCGTATTACCCTCCATTTGTGGCATCATACTGTTAGTATTATATTATTAAAATAAATAATTAATCGGCGGCGTTATAACCTTTTTAGGTCTTGGCTTCAGATTGCTGTATCTGTTTCATGATCATTTGTCAATCTAATAGGCAAATAGGTAATCAGCCTCCTGTGCCTACCACACGCCGTCCACTTGGGTCTAAGGCAAGCCGGTTTCCTTACATCATGTTTCCGAAGCGAATGTTAATTGCGCACATAGAACGAAAGTCCATTGGTGCCAGGGATCGAACCTCCGACCTCAGGGGTAAGAGTCGCACGCTGAAGCCACTAGGCCAACGCTGCTCTGTATTATATTATTTATTAATTCTTCGTTTCAGAAACATAATACAATTGACATAATTAAATGAAAAGCAGGGCAACAGGTTGCCTTATCGCTTTCAAACAATCTCTTCCAGGCAAACACTGTGAAAATAAATTAAATTATATAAGGCAAGCAAGAAGTGCAGAAATACATAATACATAAAGTTATTTAGACAAAACTACAATATTAAATAAATAAAAAAAAATAAAAACTAAACTAAAAAGGACACAATGTTAAAATTATAATATAAAGTAATGTTTGTATACAGCACTGATGTAAAGGAACTATATTTCAAGTAATAGTTGTGTAATATATATGCTTAAAGTTACCAGTGGGAAAGTATTAAATATAAATCCACGCTTCTTTGCCTATTAACATCTTTAGTTTTTATAAATAGGTATATATCATTAGAAACACTTTATACATATTTTTGATTATCGGGTATCGAGGTGAGTATAAATAACGATTCCCTACGTTGTTTAATTAAAGAGAACAGCTGCACTGTGAAAATAAACAGAACTGATAATTTTCCGGATGTATTTTCATCATTTCGAATACAAAACATTCCAATCAAACTTTACAAATTGAAATGCTGTCAGTGTACTGCCAGTCATAATTATTTACATCATCTAATATATAAAATTCTCGTGTCATAATGTTTGTTCCCATACTCCTCCGAAACGGCTCGACCGATTCTTATGAAATTTTTTATGCATATTCAGTAAGTCTGAGAATCGGATACTATTTATCTTTCAAATCCCTAATGGTAGGGGAGCCCACGATGCTAAATGGGGATTTACTCGAGCGTCGTAGAGACCTATTGGGATGCAAAGCTTAGATAATAAGAAGAAAAAATGTTAAATGATATATACCTTTTCATCGGTGGGGGAAGCGGCTATAGATTGTTAAATATGTAAAAAAAAACTGTTGCATGGACATCCTCGAGCGCGTCAGATAT